TCTACTGGGTCTGAGTAATCGAGAACAGAAGTGAGAATCAGTTTTAGTTTTGTCTGTTTTCCCTTCCACCTACCCTCAGAAGAAACATGAGCATAAAATTCAAGGTCAGTTCAGTAGTTATTAATATACAAGGGAAAATATGTCCTCTTCTAAATCTCACTTGTTTCTTAAGGAAGTAAAGCAGAAACCGTGACAACCAAACCTTTTCGTTAATCACATCTTCAGTTGGAATCAAGAAGATGTTCTTTGTTAGTCTGGATTAATTCAGAATAGAAATGGCCAACTGAATTGACGTGAGTGACAATGATCCCATAAAGAGAGAAAATAAGTCACCACTTTCTTTTCCATATCACCCAAGATGAGAGGTCAGACTCCCACGGGATCCATCTGCCAGATAAACACATGAAATTGGAAGTCGTGTTAGACCTGTCACTTGTGAATTAGCGCATTCTGCTTCAGGATTTCCAAATGAAATTCTGAAGTGCATCTTTTAGTGCTGAAAATTTAGCTAGGTTACAGTAGCCTTTCCCTACAGAGTAGTTTTGCTGCCTTGTAAACGAAACTTGGTAGGAGAGACATGCTTAATAGCTAGGTTACATATTTGCTGTTCAGCAGGAAAGAATCAAAGTGCTGATAAAAGCATGGGGTGGGGGAAGGAATGGAAACTACTAAGATGTTCACAATTTATGTTGGGGCTTTAACATATATGAACTAAAATAAAAGTAAAACATGATCAAAAGCAACTCGTAATAAGATTTATTTTCATACCTTCTACTCAGGGGAGGAGGCCAAGGTGGTGGAACATTTGCTACCCCCTAGTAATGACACGGGCCCTCCCACCATGCCACCACGCCACAATGTGCACTCTGAACAGGAACCAGGAGAGCTCCAAGTCGCTTGTAAGTAAGGAAGCCTAAGGCTCCACAGTGCACTTACATTAAATATAAATTTAGTTGCTTCAAAGCAATCTCTAGAATAGCTTCCCTCTCACATGCCTGTATTTCTAGAGGTTTTCTTGAATGGGAAATGAAGGGTGGAGCTGTAAGTAGACTGCAGTGAATGATTTTCAGTAGTCACTGAGGACGACCCATAATTTGGGCTTTGCTTATGGGCAAATAGGAAAAGGTCTTCCAAATAAGGATGGTGAGAAAACACTGTGAACCACTAACCCAAGAGCCTAGGAATGAATTCTGGCTGACCTGTGGAAACCTCCCCTACTGTGAAATCACCTCAGAGGCAAAAGAGGAGAAATTATTATTATTTTTAAAAGATTTCTTTAATTCAGATGAAGATGCTTACATAGAGAAATTATTATTTTATCTTTTCAGGTGACTGTCTGCTCACTAACCCCTATAGGATGAGTTCCTAAAAAGAAGCCAGCCCCCTTGGGGACAGTTTTTATAGGAGTTATGACAATATTCCATTCCACTGCCCATCCCTCCACAAACCTCAGAAAAATAAAATTATTCTCTGATGCAACCTAGAGCTGAAATTAGTCTTCTGTTGAGTAGCAACAGTCAGATTTTCCCTCTCTTTAACTTCCGAGGATGCGTTTGCGCCCTTTTATTGTCTTCATCATAAAAAGCAAAAGTCACTTCAGGAAATCAGGCAAGTCTGAGAGCAGGGGAAACTGCAGTCCAAAGGTGAGCTGAGATTCCCTGCTCCCCTCAGCTCCGATCCAGAAGTCAAAGGAAAACTGCAATCAAAACAAACGCGGCCTGGATCCAACTCCCCATGTTACTACTCCTTAGGAAATAGTCATGTCGGAGGAGACTCAGGCCCAGTCCCTCCTTCCACATGGCCCGGTGGCCCCTAGATTAAGTATGAGCCCAAGGAATAAATTTCCAACATCCCCAAAGAGAGGAGACAGAGGAGCTTCTGGCAACCAAAAGGGAGAAAAAAGCAGCCAGCGGCATAATAAAGAACTGTCAGATTCAGAACTAATTATAAGAGGAAGAAATCAATTCCACACGTCGTTGAGAATTTTTTCCTCCCTACACTCCACAGCTGGAGACCACTCTAGAACAGAGAAGATCACTTGGGTCTCCTAAGAGACCTGCACAGCTTCTGTAGAAGGGAGGGGTGGTTCTAGAACAAGCTTATGCTGCCCATTGCATGAACTTCTGTAGGCCAACAGATTGGCCCTCAACTGCTGAGGCTAATATGGAAACTGGCCAGAAACAGGAATGCTGTCTTGACACAATAGTAAGTAACAAGACTGATGCATTGACAAGGCTGAGCCACAAGATTCCTGCATACACAGGAGTGAAGGCAGCGGGTGTGACCCATAACCACAGCCGCTGTGGAAAGCAGGGCTTTGCCCTTTTAACTGCCAACAGGAACATCAAAAATGTCTCATGTGAAGCCGCCATTATTGTTGTTATTATTTTGAGACAGGGTCTCACTCTGTCACCCAGGCCGGAGTGCAGTGGCTCAATCTCAGCTCACTGCAACCTTTGTTTCCCAGGTTCTAGCAATTCTCCTGCCTCAGCCTCCTGAGTAGCTGAGATTACAGGTGCACACCACCATGCCCAGAATATTTATATATTTTTAGTAGCGACAGGGTTTCACCATGTTGGCCAGGATGATCTCGATCTCTCGACTTCGTGATCCGCCTGCCTAGGACTTCCAAAGTGCTGGGATTACAGGTGTGAGCCACTGTACCTGGCCCTAATTTTTTTTAAAGTTTTGTAGAGACAAGGTCTCATTATGTTGCCCAGGCTGGTCTCAAACTCCTGGGCTCAAGTGATCCTCCTGCCTTGGCCTCCCAAAGTGCTGGGGTTATAGGCATGAGCCACCATGCCTGGCACTAAAACTTATTTTTTTAAAGAGATGAAGTGATTCGAAAACTGACAGGCTCAATTCAGCTTACAAAACATCTTATTTTTGGACAAGAAAGCAGTTGGATGAGCTTTGGTTTGAAAGCCTCTATTTGCAGTTCTATTGATGAAGGGTGGTGAACACTGCAGCTTCTGTGTATAGCATCAAGAGGTCATATTTAAGAGGTTTCCGGAGGAGTTAAGAAAAGTTGTAAGTACATTAAGGGTGAAATGATTCTCCCAAAATATCCTTTTACTGTGACATAAGCCACAAGATTTTGCCCAGGCTCAAGCATCAACTCTTATCTTTATTTATACATGAAACAAGCCTCACTTTATAAATAGTAAATCTTCCTGGGCACCATTAGATAACATATAACAAGGATATAAGAAATAAGTTGCCAGCAACAAAGTCAGCTCTGCCCAACAGCTTTCTGGGTATTTGTAGGCGAGGACTAGAAACTCATGTGAAAAAAGAAGTAACCAGTTACTTTCTTAGTACCAAATAATAATACCTTGGGGATTGAAATAGTTGGGGAAATGAGATATTAAACTTAAAAGTGTTTTCCAAATAACAAAAATTTACCCCCTAAAGTACCAAGACATTTGAACCATTTTTTTCATAAAGAAGTGTCTCAAGTGCATTCTACACCACTCAAGGTTATAGAACAGACTTCAAGATACCCTTCCTGACTATAAGAAAGCTATTATGAACACTGTCCTAACTGAAATATGTAAATAACCTGCATCCCTGAGATTATATATGTAAAATTTTTCTGCGTATGGAGTATATGTGTTTTACTGGGGAAAGACCTGTATCTAAATTCGCAAAGAGACCCAAGAAAGGGGAAGGACTCCTGCAACTGTCCTCAGCTTTTTCTGGTTTTGGCTTTTTCCATTTCAGCTGTCACTTTTCTTCCACGCTACTCTTATACCACTTTTGTGGGGTTTTTTCCTCTCTTCTCTCTTCTAGTTGCTTTTCTCCCTCTCTTCTCAATAACATTTCTGCCACTGCTGCTTCACTTGTGGTGAGGACAAGTATCATTTGCTTTTTAAAAAAACTGAGGCACACCTCTGATCAGCAGACTGGTCATGTGCCCTTGTAAATTTCCATACTTACTGCCAACACTTGGGCTTAACACTTGGAATCTTTTTAGTTACTTTTGGGTTTTGGGGTATTCTGGAAAGTTGAGGACAACACTGACGTCTGATTGCTGGGGCTATTGCTGGGAGCAAGGTTCCTGTAGATTTCAGGAGCTGAACATGGAAGTTAGACTGCCATGAACACACAGGTACACACACACATACACACACACTTTCAGAAAGTTGAGGCGCTTTGTCTCTTTTCCAGCTTATGTTAGTATCTGAAATATCTGCAGTCCCAGACTGAGCTAGGATTTGCAAGAAATATTTACAGCTTGCTCAGCATGGCATTTTCAATCATGTACTATAAATGGGATGCTGGTAAATGAGCCATAAAGAAAGAATAAAGAAAATGTTACTGAATCTCCTTTATTGGTAGATTATGGCAATCTGCAAAATGAAAAGATGGGACATGAGGGAGGCTGGCAACTCTGCATGCTGGAGAATGAGACAGGCTCAGGTGCAAGGAAACCAGCAGGAAGAACCATGGCAACTGCCGGGCACAGAAAGCGCCCCTGGCTCAATATCTTGAGGCAAAAACCAAGTGTTTGAGCTGCTTTATCACACTACGAAAGACAAGAGGCAGGCTCTCAAAATGCCTGAACACGTGGCTTTCATTTCCTGCCACAGATGCTGTCTTATAGTTTGGGGCAGGGGAGAGAGAGGAGCTGGTTGGCTTTTTAAATAACTAAAAATAGTCATGCTATAGAGGAGGGAGATATTCCTAAAGAAGAACTAGAAGTGGGAGACCTCAGATGATGTGGAAATACCTGAATTCTAAATGCACACATGACGCATGCACAGAACTGTCAACTCTCCAAAAGCTGAAACAGAGGTAAAAACAGAGGTTTAAAAAAAAAAAAAAAGATAGAAACATTAACTGTATATGTCCAAAGGGCAAGTGATAAGATTAGCAAGGAGTTAGTAACTGAGAAAAGCCCACGTCGTGCCATCAACCCCCTCAGCTTTCCTGTCTCTGTGCTGCACTGACGTGGGGCTCCACACTCGTGATCCAGATGAATGTGCCCAACTCCTTACCTCACTGCAGTCACTGGCTGGGATGTGTGAAGACTGCGCTTCTTCGTCCAGTGGCTCAATCACCGTCACTTCAGCAAACTCCTCCACGGACTCTTGGAACTCAGGCAAGGACCTCCGTCCGTAACGCTTCCCACCTTTAACATATTTGGGCTGAGCTTCTAGTGAGCAGTCTGAGCGAAAAGATAAGAGTTGAGGCCACATGACATGAGAATCTCAGTTCTGAGCTGCCACTCACAGCCATCCAACCCAGCCTCTTATACCAGCCTCAGAATAAGCCACCACTGTTTGCCAGTTGTGGTGGCTGTGGGTGTATGTGAGCCATCAGGTCAGATGGAGAGCACAGCTTCTAATTCTGAATGATTTACGCCACCCTGAGTATATATCTGCACATGATGGGAGCAATCCAATGATGGCAGCAAGGGATTTGACTTAATATACAGGATTAAAGTCAGGAAAAGGAAGGGGTCACATTTGTTCTTCTGTTTATTAAGCTGGGTTTTCCAGCAGGGTGGGGAGACTTCATATTAACCAAGAGACACCTTGGAGGAAGTCTTAGAAAATGGTAACACAACAGACACCAAATCAGCACTGTAAACTTAGTATCCACACCAATTAGTCTGAAACACCCTCCCTTACCTCAATGATTCCTTTGCTAACCATTCCACTCTCTGATCTAACAGGCAGGATGACAGAACAAAGAAACTGACATAACAGATTCTAAGCGATTAATGACAGCTAGTTATTTATATGAAACCCAAAATCAAGATCTCATTGTAAAATTAAAAGCAGTAAAATAAAATAGCAAATGTGAAACAACAGTTAAAAAAAAAAAAAGTGTATTATCTCTTTGCAAGCATCAGTGTTATATACAAAATAAAAAGGAATGTGCACGAGGAGAGAGTCATCTCTTGACCTTAAAGAAGGACTTCAGCATTCTGGCATCACAAGTCTCAGGTTCAACATTCACCACCTTCCCCATCACCGTCACCACCACTGCGGCCATCACCACCATCACCACCACCATCACCACCACCATCACCACCACCACCTCCACTACCTCCACCTCCACCGCCACAACCATAGGCTAAGCTTTTTCTACAATTGGTAGCTTTAAAGTGATAAAATAAATACTTCACTCTTTCAAATGTTATCTCAGAAATAGATTTTCTAGGACCTGGTACAGCATTAGAATGAAATGTTTCATGAAAGCACAAAAGATGGCAATGCTTTGATTTCTGTTGCCTTATTGTCCACACACAGACATACTCTCTCGAGAACAAGTATGTATTCTGTTGCAAGGTATGTCTGAACTCAGACATGTAGACGTTTAAATGAGATACGTACACGTATAATAAAAATGACAACAGTTGATTAGATAAGAACTAAAAGAACGACTGTTCCTTTATCACCATTGTAACCATGTTGGGGTTTAGCCATTACTTTGCAGTTTCCCAGGGAGGACTGACGACCCTCTGTGACTAACCACCTCCCCACCATGTCCTTCCTCTGGGACAAGCTCAGATTTCGCTATATTCACAAATGTGGCCAGACACATGCTGAAAATGCTCAGCAAAGCTCAGAGTGAAGTATTTATACTAGCTATATAATTTCTAGTGATATTTATATCCAGCTTTTAAAAAGTCCCAGCCAAGTCATTTTATTAGGTCAAGTGATTCTCTTACAGCAAGTGTTTAAGCATACAAAATTTATACTGAAAACTGCATGTATATTTGAAGGTACCTTTTATCAGAAGACAGTGTGTCAGCTTGTGAGCATTCAGGAGCGTCCCAGACACCCGAGCTACTTGTTGGCAGCTGACACCCACAGATGCTAGTCAGATAAGAGGCAATGCAGAAACATCCTTAATTTATTACATATTATTAAATTTGGGGGGCAGACAACAAGATACACCATTAGTGACTATTGGTGTTTGGAAAAGATTAAAAGGAACACTTAGAACCTTGGATAATGGACCACAATATTTTCCCAGTGGAAGAACAAAGTCACCTCCTGGGGATGGAAGGGCAAAGGAGCTTTTATTGCATGCTGCACTCTTTCAGAGGTAAAAAAGCAGTGGGAGAAAGCAACTACCTTTTAAAAATCTAATGTGATCTAATCCCAAACCTACCAGTAGATGAAATGGTTCCCTAGTTGTTTACTACTAACTATCCCACATAGTGTAGACTCAGTGGTGGATTAAAAAGAACTCTTTTTCTAAGCAATAAAAGGTAATAGATTGTGAGCCAGCAGGGACCTTGTGGAGTCATGGTTTATTTAGCTATATATTTTTGCATTGCCAGGCACTAAAACTTTTATTTCGTTATCTATTTTATTATAATTTGAGCAAACTTTAATATCCTTCATAGAATGTACAAACATGATAAAGTCAATTTCTAGAGACATCTATTAAATTGTGTAATCTTTTTGCAATAAAGACATGAGCACACGCAAAGAAAAATGGGTTAAAGTTTTCTCATCACTTTATTTTCCAAACCATGCATGTGACCAATAATGACATAAACTAATCACACCATTTAAAACTAGTCACCTCTTAGAATGACACATTCACACATCCCTCGCCCATTTAGAGCATCTGCCTCACTGCACTTACCATGCATGATATGACAGGAACAGAGACGGCAAAGGTAAGGACGTCCAGAGAGAACATTCAAAGTCAACAGCCCTTGCTGGGTTAAGCACTGAAAACTCTATGATTCTCCTTCTCAATCTCAACCAGAAATTTAGAACTGAACCACAGAACCATGGGAATTTTAAGACACTCTTCCCCACTCAAGTTAAAGAATGCCTTGAACCTTTCTGACCATGCCTAATGGAAGAGATCCAAATCTGCAACCCTGGGACTAAGTTTATTTGCTTCACGAGCACATCCAGATGGAACCTTTATTTTTTTCAGGATGTCATTTTGGAATCATCTTATCTATGTCAGAAAAAATGGGCGGTTTTGGTTTATTAAGAAATGAAATTATTGACATCGCAGAGCTTCCTTTAACACAGGTGAGAGTAACTGTTCCAATCACCAGCTCCAAGAAGGGACATGAAATGCCTGGTCAATATGGCAAAACTCCAACTCTACTAAAAATACAAAAATTAGCCGGGCATGGAGGCTCGTGCCTGTGGTCCTAGCTGGTTGGGAGGCTGAGGCATGAGAACCGGTTGAACCTGGGAGGTGGAGGTTGCACTGAGCCAAGACTGCACCACTGAACTCCAGCCTGGGCGACAGGGTGAGACTCTGTCTCAAAAACAGAAACAAAACAAAACAAAAAGAAATGCTATCAAAACAAAGTATAAAGGACCGCCATGCTTTCAGTGTTTGATTTCTTTAAAAGTGTATTTATGATTCTCCCTGGATTATCAAGCTTCTGAGTCATTTTTCCTTCTTTCCCATTTTCCATTTCTCCTATTTGGCATCACTACAAAAATTAAAATGGGCTTCAAAGGAAAGCAGACAAGCCTGGCCTGCCCAGAGGTGTCTCAGACCCCATCCCTGGAGAGCTTATTATGAGACACACCAATCAGAGGAAGGTGGCTTTTGAGGCAGTCCAATGTGACCTAGTATAATTGTCTAGGTTTTATTTCATAAGCCAAATGCTTGGTTATGAGCAGGTGACAATAGAGAAACCTTGCTTCAGTCCTCTGCTGGAGTAATGTGGAAGTGAGTGACAGTCTCTACAGAGCACGTGGAAAAAAAACATCTGATCAAGGAGTTAAAAACATGAATACTATTCTTTTTGGCCTTAGAAATTGCAGTCTGGATGCTCACACACTACATTTGTTACTCTACATTGCATCTGTTCCAAGAAGAGAAACTCCAGAGCTGTAATAATGTTCCCCTTCCAAAGCAGGATAAACCACCATGCACAAGTATGATGTTGGACCAGAAGTCATGCACTCATAATAAAAAGAAAATTAAAATATGCTGTCAGGGAAAATGACCACTCTGAGTAAATAAGCTGGTTGCAGGCAGGGGAAATGACCAACATTCACCTCATTCCTCTCCCGATTCCTTTCCCAGCTGCAGTGTAGAGGGAAGAAACCCAGTCTCCAACTCCAGATTTCAGGCAATACAGAGTACACTTTTTGCTCTCCCCTAAAACTGACCGCTGCATCAGATTAGTGCATCTGCAACAGATGTGATAAAGGTCACTGCTTAACATGCTCAGCTCTCCTAAAACCACCGCATGAATTGCCAAAGGCAAAGCAATGTCAGCTTCCCTTAGGAAGCCTAAACAATATACAGTCAATTAGGCAAAAGCCTAAACAATGTATAGTCAACTGAATACTTTCTTTGCAAAAACACAAACTCAGGACCTGGAATGAAGTGGCAGCCATAATTGCTTTATGGAATTAAAGGAGATTTTTCAAAGATGCTACCCAGTGTTAGGCACATTCACTTAACGCACAAGCATATTTACCAAACACCTGCCATGGGCAAAATGTTATGCTGGCCCTATTAAGAAATATGATGATATTTTAGCATTTTTTAAATCAAAATTCCCTGTTCCCAAAAATGACCTGAGGCTATTTCCAAGGATGAAGGAGAAAGCCCTGCCCTTAGGATGCCGGTATTCTCATTTTGGAATTCCTGGCATAGGACTTTGCTTTCTATGTCCCTTCCTGATCCATTTAGTGAACCTGGGAAATCGTTCCCAGAGACACCACCGCCATCCAAAGCACCTCAGCACAGGAGTAATACCAGCAGAAACTTCATGTTACATGGCTGCTGAGCTCACAGGGGTGCTAAAAACCATGTGAACTTTTCTCAAGGAAAGGTAAAAAGTGAAGCATGCACAAACCTCAAGGCAAGCACCCTCAAGAAGCTTTCTTAGGAAAAGGCAGTCATGCAGCAAATGAGCCCCACCTAGCTCCATTCTACATCCCACTTCCTCCTCGCCTATGCTGAATGCACCATCACACAGGGATTACACAGTGAAAACGCACACCCACACCTGACTCTAAACAAGAGAAGGGAAGAGAATCAAAGGGAAGACTAAGACCAAGAAAAACACAGAGACCAATGGAGACTGACACAGAGAGACAGATGCAGAAAGAGAATGAGACGGAGACTGAGACCAAGAAAGGGAAGGAAGTGGGTGGGGAAACGGGAGACAATAGGGACCTAGAAGCCTAGGGTGGTTGGGGAAAGGGAGCGAGAGAAGTAGATGTGGGAGGACTACCAGGTAGGGAAAGAGTGGAGCTCGAGACTGAGAGGAGGAGGGAGAGGTGAGCTGGGGTGGAGGAAAGAAGGGAGTGGGGAGGGGACGGGAAGCGAGAAGGGGAGGCCAAGAAAGAATAAACAACATTAGAAAACCATCAGCAAAAGCTTTCTGACGTAATCTGCCATTTCTTTCGCTTCCCAGTGCACTCCCTGCCTCCAGGGCCATCACTGGTAAGCAGCCTCATCACGCTTCTGTATGCACTAAGCTCTTTCCAAGGCAGCTGCTTGGGAGGGCATCAGCACCCACCTCCCCAACTACTCCTTTCTCGTGGAACCTCCACACAAGATGCAGATGTTTGATTAGGTCTTTCAGGTCTTCCCTGTACGCAGTGACAGAATCTTAGGTGCAGTCTCCACCCCAGTTCTTACCCACCTAAATGATGCTTCTGGCTGGAACACAGGGGCTTCTGAACACAAAGGGTAATGGGGTAACTTCAATTAGCCTTGTTCAGGAGGAAGGCTTCGAGGAGAAAGTGATCCCCGCCCCCACCCCCAGAAGGTGTCGAAGCTGCTGGATGAGTTGGCATGGCAAGCCCCAGGGCTGACTGGTTTGACTGGATGGTCTAAGTCCTAATGCAATTGAAGATCAGTCAATAGGAAAAAAATCTTTGAGTTGATAATGATTATATAATTGTTTCCCCAACCTTTTCACAGGAGGATCAACCAGCGGATCCCTGTTAGGATGCCTGCATCTATAGCCATTTTTGGGAAGAAGGATGAGATTCACTTTTTACGTAACTGAACTCTCCCCATTGTTCAAGGGGAACTCAAAACCCATTTCTTTCAAGTAATTCCTTGGCACCACTGTCATGGAACCCTTTCTCCTTTGCATTTAGTGCGATGCACACTGTCTATAGCTCCCAATTTAATCATAACTATGGTCACATTTTTCTAAAAGCATTTTACATGGCTGGATTTCCTACCCAGGTAGACTGTAACACTTTCCATGGAAAAGAGCTGTGCTTTGGAATCAAACAGTCCTGGACACCCAGTCCATATCAAGGTTGGGAACACTGAACCTCATGAAGACTTAGTTTCCTCCCACCTGGAGGGAGGGAAAATAATAGGAGCTTCATAGAGTAAGGTCAACATCAGTCTAGCAGCTCCTGCCCAGGGAGCTCCAGCCGCACTCTGGTCCATCTACCGGGACTCTTGTGAAGCCAGTGGTTGCCCAAAGCCATTGGGCCAGGGAGAGGTGTCCAGCATCAAGTAACCATGGGAGCAAAGTTAGCAAGAGTCTCTTAGCCCTCAATCCTGAAGAGTCCTTCAGTCTCAGTTTTTGGTAACAGGTAAGATTAGTGGCAAATGTGTAATGATGTTATCCAGTTCGTCATCTCAGAAACTGGAGCTGCTCTGATCTTGTTCTTGCCCAATTTTCTCATTAGTCTCTTTTCCCTGTGTCAGCGAGCTGATGTGAGAGGGACACACTGATACTCTAGGACACCCTGTGGAAAACTGTCATCTTCATGTCCCCTGTTCGGAAACCTCCTTATACATCCACTGAAGTTGAAATAAAATATAGACATGGCCAGGCACGTGGCTCACGCCCATAATCCCAGCACTTTGGGAGGCTGAGGCAGGTGGATCACCAGAG